CTAGGACGCTCGATGCTATGCGGAGGCGCGTCAGGATGGAGGTTCTCCAAGAGGCGGATGTCATTTGTTGCACTTTATCAGGTGCAGGGCATGAAACGCTCGAACAACTTGATTTCGAAATGGTTATCATCGATGAAGCAGCCCAGTCCATCGAGTTGAGCTCATTGATACCACTAAAGTTTCGTTGTCAAAGATGCATCATGGTCGGCGGTGAGTACTATGCTTTCGTACTCCTGACATCCCTTTGAGCCCTGTCTAGATCCACAACAACTTCCCCCCACAGTTTTGTCTCAGGAGGTAAGCCGAGCGTCAGCAATACCTGCCGAACATGCGCTGAACATTATTGAAGGCCTGTAAGTACCGGTATAATCAATCGCTCTTCGTGCGCCTTCAGAAGCACCGCCCGGACGTCGTTCACCTCCTCAGGTATGTCTTCCGTTTTTCACTGATAGTCTACGCATTCATAGTTTTTAGCATCCAATACCGCATGCACCCCGAAATTAGCCGTCTTCCCAGCAGGATATTCTACGAGGGCCGACTCTTGGATGGCCCCGACATGGATGTCAAAACAAAGCAGCCGTGGCATTTGCATCCTAAATTTGGTACATATAGGTTCTTCAACGTTAACCGGGGACAAGAAACCGCAAATGGTCATTCTCTAAAGAACACTACAGAGAGCCAAGTAGCCCTCGCCTTGTACGCACGCTTGTGTAAAGAGTTCTCCGACATAGACTTTGACTTCCGGGTTGGCATCGTTTCCATGTACCGCAGTCAAGTCATAGAGCTTCAGCGAGCTTTTGAACAACGATTTGGGAGAGATATCAAGGGCAAGGTACACTTCCACACTGTCGATGGATTCCAGGGACAAGAGAAGGATGTTATCATCCTTTCTTGTGTTCGTGCTGGCCCCGGAGTGCAATCTGTCGGTTTCCTGTCGGGTATGATATTTCGATTTGTATACTTACAAGCAGCTAACGGCGTACAGATGTTCGAAGAATGAATGTTGCTATAACTCGTGCACGTTCGTCTCTCTTTATTCTGGGCCACGCGCCTACTCTCGAGCGAAGCGACGAGAACTGGCGCAAAATCGTACAGGACGCTCGCGAAAGGTCATTACTCACAGAGGTCTGACACCTATATCTACATACTCCTTTGCTAGTTGAACTCACTGAGACACAGGCGGATGTTAGCTTTTTCACCACTCAAGCTATGAACCCCCCAGTTCGCCGGCCTCCATCACCACCGAAACCCAAGAAGCAGCCAGCCGTGACTTTGCCGCCTAAACCAGATAATTTAGTCACTCCCAAGAGCTTTGCTGAGTCTAGTCGTCGGCCTCCCTCCTCCAAACCTTCTCAGACGATTGAGGAGCAACCGTCGATGAAAGATCCTCCCGCAAACCTAGCGACTCCCAGGGATGTTGGTCAGAAGCGTCGCTTGGGTGAAGGTGTGAACGGCGAAGGTGGACCTTCCACCTCACGTGATACCAGGGTGATGACAATGCAGCCACCCCAAAAACGATTCAAGAAGGAGAAAGGTAGCATCTTTATACCGAAGAAGAACAAGGTAATGTTTCGTTGGGTTTTGGTGATCGGCGCTCATGATAATCGCTCCATCAGCCTGGGAAGCCATAGGTGATCATTTGGTGTTTTGGATATCGTCATTCAATTGTACAAGTAATCCACCTTCAGGCCTTACAAGGATAATGTTAGGATTTCCGCTTCACACAAGTCGTAGGCAGTGACCTTGCTTGCATCAATGTCCAGCCCGAGGTTGCAGCGCTGAACGCTCTGGACAAGTAGAATACATTTATTGTGTGGAGTATACAATAGATAATATAGCATATAGTACGTCATGCATTCATCGTGGACACAGATACAGCATTGCAAATATGAACACAACAATCAACTCGGTAAACAAAAACTGCGACATCGCATATTTAGCGTCATACGAAGATCCAGGTTTTGCGCACAAGAGACGTTACGCAGGACCAGCTTAGTGAAGGTGAATCCGAGTTTGAGCGAAAAGTCCTGTATCAAACCGATGTTTGCAAGCGATCGGCAATAGTAATAGTCAGAGAGGTGATTCAGCGTGCGATTCAGAAAACGATTTTGGACGCTGAGAGTCGATTTTGAGGTCGAATCGTGCGAAATCGTTGAAGCGCCTCTGGAGGCGCTTCACGCTATCGGATTTTGGACTGTGGGCGGCTGTACCCCTCCTATTTTAAAATACAAATTAAATGGCTAATTAAATAGACTTGTCCCGCAAGGAAGCACTCTCCGCAGTCAAGCAGCATGACACCCAAAGGAAAAGGCGTCTAACAAGCATCTCCGCTGACTCGGAAAGCTCGTAAAAAAGCACTCGTAAAAAGGCATTCTGAAAAAAAAGTACGGCGATGATATCGAGCGCGTGAAATAGATCAGAAAACAGATAAAACATATATATAACTCACCTTTAAGAGGAACTGCATACATACCTATCTACGAATCCAACCAGAATCGCATTGAGAATCCGTTCTCGCCGGCGCCGGGGTGTTCAAAGTGAATGGCTTTTCATGCGATTTTCGAATTTTGAATCGTCTCGTAATCACACGCAGAATCGCTTCATAATCGTTTAATATGCAAACAAGTGACCGTGCGTGTGTTTCATCTATGTGTGTCGTCTGCGTGTGTGTGTGAGTTGTGTGTTGAACAGATCACAGCCCTATATCCATTTGGCCCATCATAATAATACATGCTGTGAAGTAATCACGAGGATGCTACATATAAAACGTACTATCTCGAACTTCCAGTGTAATCGACTCTGACTTGACCTAAACGCCCATTTTGTCTGTGTCAAAACATATGGTGGTAAGCGACGAAACGCACTTGGGCTTTGTTGAATGAAAGCTGAGACAGCGATGCACTCGGTAGTTTAAACTGAGAATCATGTCGTCACCCATCGCTGGGACGCAGAAGCCACCAAAGATAAAGCCCTGCCAGAAATTTGAAGGACACACCGACTTGCTCGAGGGCGCTATACATTTGCCGGGCGGACAACGGATGATGACTTGTTCAAGAGACGGCTCGTTGCGGGTATGGAACTTGAAGAATGGGAAACAGGTAGGAGAGGACTGGCGGGACGGGGATAGCGGTGTGTGGACGATAGCGCTGTCTCCGGACGGGAAGAAAGTGGTTAGCGGAAGTGAGGATGGCAGAGTGAGGTTGTGGGACATGGACACAAGCAAACTCATCACGAAATGGACGGGTCACACAGAAACTGTGATGTCTGTATGCTGGAGTCAAGATGGTGAGCGAGTGGTGAGCGGATCTTATGATGGGACTGTAAGGGAGTGGGACATGGAGAACGGAGAGACAATCCTTGGTCCAATCAAGACTGGGCACGAAGATGTGCTCACAGTCGTCTACTCACCAGACATGACCATGTTTGCAACTGGTGGATACGGACCGACTCGAGCTGGATTATACGAGCACCCAGTCAAAATCTGGAATGCGAAGACAGGCGAACTTGTCGTCGCTCTCAAAGGACATACAGGTTCAGTGATGTGCCTGGCTTGGACCCCAGATGGAAAAACGGTTATCTCCGGGTCAGTCGATTCCTCGATTAGGACATGGAGTACTTCAAACTGGAAGCAGATCGCTGTGCTGGATGAAGACACTTGGAGCTCTGTCCATGGCATTGCGATATCTCCGAATGGCCGCATCCTAGCGAGCGCATTATTCGATAACACAGTGCGATTATGGAACCTCGACAACAACAAGCCCATCAGTCCGCCCCTCAACCATGCAAATAGAGTGGCCGCCGTGTCATTTTCAGCAGATGGAAAGCTACTAGCCACTTGCTGCGATGACAATAACGCATACGCTTGGGATGTTTCCGCCATATTCAAAGAAGCTGGTCTCGAATACCTTCTTTTGGACAAGCCCGACAAGTCGCTACTGACTCAGGTACGTGAAACTCTCATGAACAGTTTTTATTGCACTCAAGCTTATGCATTCTAGGCTCATGTTTCACGACGTCCCGTCCGACGTCAGCCAATCAAGGCCTCTCATGCTTACGTACGTCGTTAATTAAGTCCTGATTTCATTGTCTTCATGTTCTCAGTTGTCTGCAAAACACCGCCTCCGCCCTATATCATCGCCATCGCATGGAGGCACCCTTCGTAGTCGTTTTTTGTCTTTATTCCGCCCCATACACCACGATACACACGATACGCCATCCCGACCCCGCCCTTTCCACTGGGTTCGAAAACGTCTCTTTGCCAGACCAAGCGGCGCAGATATCAAGCTGCACGAGCATCCCTCAGCAATAGTCGACGTCCCATATGCCAAGGGCAAACGTGTATGTTCTTATCTGTCTTTTCGAGTATTATACTTCTGATGCTGTTTTCTCCGAACTCTGTCTCGCATCATATAGAGAAACGCTTCAGCAAGAGAGAGACGGAGGCTAATCCTGAAAATTCTTACTGCAAGCCGTTTACGCCCTCCCAATAGCACCCTCACGCAGCAATCCAGCAGCACAGCTAAAACTCAGTCGTCTTTGTAACCCCATGCTGCCGTCTCCACCTCCACCGTACCTCCCGTTGTTATTAATACAACTTCGAACACTAATCCTCATGCAACGATTAGACACGCATGGCTATTATAGGACTCAGAATGAAGACAATAATTACTACAGAACGAATCTGTCGCAATAGTACAACAAGGTTTGCCCAGCTCAACGCTGCAAACCGATGTATGATGGTAGTCCTAAACTTCTAGCTTTGGTGTAGGCAGACCAAATGGAAAGAAGACACTTCTCTGAAGCTCAAACACGTCTCACAGGCGAGCGCCAATCATCTGAGAAACAGAATTTACAGTACACATGCAGGATAGTGAACTAATTTAAAGTCCACTGAGACTCAACTGGTGACTGCCCAGATTCGAAGTGCACGACGACTTGAGCGTGACAGCAGGCGACCTCGTGAAGCTCACGGTCCATCAGCTCAAAATTTTATGCAAAGAATGCCGCATTGTCGGGTATTCGAAACTCGGGAGAGTATCTCTGCTCGAGAAATAATGATGCTGCCCACGGTGACCGGTGACCCTCAGCCTCAGGCTGCGATTTCCATCCAACCAATATCAAAAATAACAGCACCAGAACACACGGGCCACCCAACCGGCCTAGCTCCCGCACGCTCCACTGGAGTTACTGCTCTCAATTATACTCGCAATACACAGACAGCAAACAAGGACTTTACCCGCCACGTCTACAGAACAATCTGCCCTACGCAAAGCACTTCCGGTGTCTTGTCCGGTGGATCACTCAGCTGCCAACTACTATCGTGCATCACCAGCGGTTGTTGCTGCATCAAGCCCTGACGCTCCCAACGGGATTCAGAGCACGAAACGACCAGAAAGTTTGGGAATCCGAATTTCCGGCAGTCTCCGTCCGGCTGCGTGCGGATCTGTCCGGGTCCGTCTGGGCACAACCTATCAGTTTTCTGCATCGTGCTATACAAATTATACAATTTTATGTCTTGTTATATGGCACTCTCAAACACATTAACGATGTTAGTGATGTCTCAGCCTAGATCGTAGCTTTTGCACGGCTGCAAATGGCTTGGGCTTTTATCCGCCCTATTCCTCTATCAAGATTCAACACCATGGCGACCACATGCTTGCACGCCAGCAGACACCAGTGTCTACGCTGCTACCCCCATGGTTCCCACGGTCCATCATTCATGGCCTCGAGACACGCACTCTTGTATCAGTGTTTGACCGTCAAGCCCCAGGACTTATCACTCTAACCACACTCCTGTTCTTTTACCACCATGGCTTCGGCGTTCTCGTTATGGGTATTCAAACGCTGCTCCTTATTCTTTGGAGCCGGGAAAAACGTTTTCCTGCGCGCATATTCGTTCACACATGGACAGCTATACAGCGCACCTCCAAAAGTGCGATGTCGGCGAGCTATTTGCAAGAGAGGAAAAGGAAAATACAACAGCAAACCTAGTATACATACATGTACAGATATAACAAATCTCTTATTGTAATGCACGGTCCGAAGGTGAACGGAACGAAGCCGTGTATTGGCCTTGTATGAATTAATGTTGATATAGCACTAGTTGAGTGAGCCGGACAGATAATCCAGACGGACTCGGCCGGACAGACCCGGAAGTTCGAATTCCCAGATGCCCTCCAGGGGATGGAGCGGCAATCTGTGGCTTGCTGCCGATTGGAAGATTGAATCACTGGCATTCAAGATTCTGTTTTTCGAGTGACCTTCGCAATTTCTTGAGTAGTCCAAGGAATTCTGCAGAGACATGACGGTGAGCAATCATTAATCATTAATCAGCTTGGACTCGTCATAATGTGCCAGTGATTAGTGACAGCGTTCCGTGACTGCATCATGATGCAAGTCATTCTTAATGCTCTCACGTCCGAGCCGCGTCCGAGTCCCGGCATTTTGTCGCCAGGAGTGTTTTGATCTTTCCATCTTGGTGGGAAGATTAGCGCGGCGCAAATTCCAACTTGAAGCTTCTCTCCTCGTCTCCTGATTAGATTTAGCATCCTGAGTCCTCCACCGTATCATTGTGCCGGGTTTCTATTACGATTTCAAGTTGCGTCAACGGTTAAGTTTTTCGGGTTACGAAGCCAAGGCTGTGATGAGCAACTACAAATATCTCACATCTCATCATTCTCATGGAGCTAGAATCACCCCCCAAATTTTAGCATGTCCACAGAGCTCAAGGCTGTTCGCAAAAAGCGGACCACAGAGGCTAACCCTGCTTCCGACGGAGACCATCGCAAGCGTCGACGCAATCGTACAACTCAGTCATGTCTTAATTGCCGCACATCCAAGAGAATGGTACGTACAAAACCTAGTACGTCGTCATTCTGAAGATATATTTTACAACAGTGCGACCGGAAGCGTCCTTGTGGCCGCTGCACGCAATTATGTCTGGTGAGGGTCTTCATATAAAGCATGTGCTACTAATGTCTGATAGCAAGTGTCCTATAGACCGGCCTTTGTGTCTACGAAGTGGACAATCCTTCCCAGCGAAGTGAAGTTCAAGACGAGGGTTCGCGCCTTCGTCAACGAGTTGCCAAGCTCGAGGGAGTGATACGCGAGGTTTGTATGGTCATACCACAGGAAAAAAAAAATTAAGCTCAATATCCATAACAGTTGAAGAACAAATCCCATCCTCGCTGGGTTCAAGCGGGTTCGACCCCAGAAGTAGAATTTGAGAGGTGCCACACCCGCTCTCAGTCTGATTCGGCTGTTGAGCAGCAACAGACCGAACAGCAAACCAAGACAAAAAGCACATCTTCGTCGAGCGCCTCTCCATCTCGCACTACTTGTTCGACATCAAGCCCTAGGGATGAGTCACATCCGTCCCCTCAGCTTCCATCCCCCTCACACCCACGTCCTGCCTTGACTTTTCCCCAACCAGCCGACTTACCAAACACATCTGCGTCATACTTTCCTCACTTCAGTAATATATCATCCCCCTTGAGCACACCCTCTCCTATAATGACGCCGACCGATGAATATGCGCAAACTCAAGCTCTTGTTGTGGGAGAGCAACCACTCGCCGGAGAATTCGACCTTGCTTCTATTTTCATGTCGTTTCCAGGTTTGATTGGATGTGAAGATAACCTGGGACATAATGTTATTACCGGTTATCTCGACGATACCTGCCAGTCTAATCATTGCCACGATACTTCTGCACACGGTCATTGCGGCTGCCTGACCGAAGAATCGAGCTACAATGTAGTGCTCGAGCTTTCTCTGCGCTTGCGTAAAGCAGCGGACATCCTAAGCCGGTCGGCATATCACCATCTTGGATCCAATAATTGCGCCCTTAACCAGCGAATTATGGAACTTGACGGTTTTGCTACGTGAGTTTTCCCATGATTACTTTCTGCATCGACTTACCATCATTCAACAGGACGACACTAGGTAATATTACTACACCACCTAACGATATCAATCAAATACAACATCCGCTCTCTCATAAACTCATTCCACCATTGTCTACTTTTGGTACAGCATCGGGGCGCACCATGCCTGCTTCGACAGTCTCTCCACAGACTCTGCAAGGAATTACCTCCTGGGATATTCCTATGTCGTCTGTGTCGGATTCATCACTTGTTCGCGAAGACTCATTTATGTCATGCATCAGCGGGTTCAATTGTGCTTCTGTAGCGCTCTGTAACGAATTCCGTTTTCCTGATGGGCCCACCTCAGGCAGAACATTTCGGTGCCTATAAGGGGTCTATCAGACCCGGTTTCTATGTTCAACTTGTGGGAAACACGTCTGCAAGACCCACCCACCTTCCTATCTAATAATAGCTTACATATAGGATTAGCTCCTGCGCCTCCAGCGACCCTCCCACGAGCCTATAGCACCTCCGATGACCTCCCGTCCTTGATTTTGTAGCTTTTGGTGGCTCATTGGTGGGCTCCAGCAGTACTATGCATGATGGTCTTGTAGGGTCATCTGGTAGGCCTGGGAGTTTCTATTTATGTATCATAACTAATAATCAAAGTACTTGGCACTGTCTGGCATCTGTAATATGTATGGTCCTTGTACAAGTTGATGCATTCTTCTCGCCATGACCCCAACCAAATCCCTCAACACTCGTAAAGCTCAGCTTGTTTCCTTTGGCCTTGGGCAACACTTTGTAAGCCTGAGGAAAGCCAGAGATAAGAGGAAAACTCAAACACTGGTCGAGTTACCTGGTGCAGAACTCAAGCGGCGTCGCCTACTTGCTCAAATACAATGACTATTGGATCATGCACCCCCCCCCCCCCCAACAGGGCCTTCTCATTGTACTGTGTTGGGTGATCATGCTGGTGGAATCAATCACATGAGAATTCTCGATGACTTGGATTTCACAGGCACTGATGTTGAGACATCGGAAGAAACAGTTTCTGATAGGCCCGCAGATTTGGGGCGCAATCCTCACAAGTGGTGTATTCTCCCCGATAACCTGACAAATATGTTATATGAAAACTGGTGAAAGCTCATACCCACCCTCGTGGATCCGCAATTGAAGTATCATGCCTGCACTATTGGCCAAGGCTTGGAGAAGACTCACAAAGTGATCTCAGCATGTGCGACTCTCACCTGTGCACAGAAAAAGACCAGTTTATTGTGCCTATTCTTTGACAGTAAGTACTCATACTTCTGGCCCATTGGATGAGCTGATGAGTGCAAAATGTACCAACAGGATTTGAATCAATCAATGTACTCAGCTGTGAATGCTCCAGCCTTCCGCAGGCCCTCCTTCATCATGGGCTATTCCCTACTGCACCTTCACAACCTCGTATGGTGGTATCTGTTGATCTACTTTCATTTTATCGCGCACTTTTTGAGCGGTCTTGTGACACTATCAATGCTCTTGCATCGGCTCTTAAAACACACTATTCACGCCAAGGTTTTCAAGTGACTGACTCGCAGGTAAGATACTAGTATATCCATATAAAATATCACATTACTAAACTAGCTCAAAGGGTGATGTTGTGCAGGAACCATTTCGTTGTGGTCTAGGTTACGCCGTACAATGGTATGATGTCCTTCAGGTCGAAATTGAACAGCAAGTGGACGCAGGCCTTCAATGAAGTCGAGACTATGTGGCAAGCCACCGGTCCCCACCACCACCTACTGTAACCAATGAAGAAAGTTTGACGTCAACTGTCTTACACTTTGGCCAATGTGCTCCACTTATCGCACAGTGCTGTCCAGCATGCTTTGGTGGGACACTGTATGGCAGACCTGTCGATCAAGGTGGGGACATACATGTTGCTATGGATGGCAACTTTCATCATCATCACCGATGTTCTGCGGGTGACTGTCCTCGCTTCTATGAACCAACTTATTTCCTTTCAAAACAGTTTGTTGATGTGGTTGGGCGCCGAATTGATGCACAACATAAATGACCTCCAAAGCTACACACATCCCTTGTGCCTGATGAAGCTATTGATCAATGTGAGAGTGCATACGAAGCAGCCGATGGGAAGAAACAAAAGGCTGCAATGGACAGCTTCGATGACACAGGAATAATGGCCCTCATTTGCTGTCATGACATTCCCTTATTTTTTTGCTGATATTGACTCTCCTGGAGAGCAGCGGAAATATTCGGTAGCACTGATAGAACACCTGTTCACATTACTCCCTCCTCAAGCCACAGTTGTTACGCTCTATGATGTAGGCTGTGTTCTCGCTTGGTCGCTTTCAAAAGTATGTACACAGTTGTAATCAGGTTCATTTGCTATTCATTTGCTATTCATTCACTATTCATTCGCTAATTATTTTCAGTTTGAGATTCTCCCCCCTGAAGTTGTCTTACGTCTGTGCTTTGCAACTACGGCTATGCATGCCTATGGTCATGAATGGGCCTGTCAGCTGGTGCACAATCCACGGATTTGCATAGGCCTTGGCTTATCTGATGGTGAGGGGACTGAATGGCTATGGTCGTGATTCGTTCGCTTGATTGGTGTAGAAAGGTCATCATCAGTGCATTACATTTTGTTCTACCAAACAATATACTAACTATTTTGAGTCACTTAGTGCCAGCGCCGTCTTTGGTTAATCAACTGTCAAGCCACTGTGATAGGGTCAGAAATGAAAGCGGACCTTGGAGACTGGATCAGACACTGTCTCAATCAGGGCATTAAGGCCCAGGGCTCTGCTGCCCTTGACATCATTGACCGCTGTGAAACATCTGTGGATGACTTTCAGGCTCAGTGGGCTGACCAATGACAAGCCCAGCTCTTGATTCACACTCGTGAGCAAGCCTATGATATGCACGCACTGAGTACTGATGCTGGATGTTTCTAGATGCTCCTGCTCGTCTCAGGAAGGAGCTAAACACTGTTCTTGCTCTACAGGCCGACTTGGACACGTCAGAACGAGCCCTGCAGACTACTAGGACTATGCTGGAGAAGGAGACAGCGTCCAATGACACCCTCTATGCCCTCGAGAGCCTCCAAAGAGGCCACAATTGTCTCATGACTAAAGTCGAAGCATTATACTCTTCTCTTAATGTTCATGATAGATTCCCCGAGCTCAATGGAGTTAGTCTCAACTTTGTCTGTGTCCTTCTCATGACACATGATCTCAAGATCAATATTCGAAAGCGCGCTATCGCCAGCTTCTTTGAATGGGATAAACTTGATCGTGCTGTAGGCGGATCCCACCAAGCATTAGGTAACTCTTCATGTATAACTGTTCCTCCATTCTAACTTTATTGTTCAGGGATGAAGCTTCATCAACACACTCGCAAAGCTATAGCCAAACACCAACCTGCTCTCATGACGGCAATCCAAAAGTTCAATTCTTACTGTGAGCGATTAGAGTCACTCTACAATCCTGCTTGGAATATCCCACTTCCTACTCCCCTCCTGACAAAATTAGCTGAACTACGTGGTGACCAGACATTAATGCAGGATGTCTGGGTTACACCCTCAATTGGAGAGAGTACCTCGATGGTTGGAAGACTCAGACATCAGGGACAGAATTTGCGCCCTTCTTAAATGTGACCGGTGCAGGGAGGAGCAAAAATGCTTAGGCATGGAGGCTGACAATTTGTGTCATTTCTTTGAAGAGGAGCTGACAGCATTGGAGCTTTCAATCTGATTGTCTGAAAGTATGGTTCTCATTACCAAGTCATTCAAGGTTCATTGATGACATTTCTTATTTATAGATGAGTGCTTCCTCATTCCATTACAACAGAAGCGCTCACATTTTCTCAGACTTCAGGTGCAATGGCCAAATGCATTAGCATCTTCGGTTCGGTTTAGCAGCCATGCAAAAGAGGCACTAGATAGGGCTATAACCTACTCTGGAGGTTGTTAAGACCATACTCAAGAGGTATCGGATCTGAAGGGCTTTGGCCTCAGCTTGTGCGCTGTGCCCCTTTCCCGAGTCTTGCCCCTTATTTCAAAGTGCTAGAGTATTGTGTCTAGTGAGATGGATAAGTATCGTAATGGATCCATTAAGGCTTCCGGATATCGGACATATAGAGTAACAGTTAATCCGGATCTGATCCGAACTAGAAACTAACGGATGAGGGCTGTCTGAAGACAGAGGCGAAGATACAGACTATAGGAATCAATCCTAAGTCTTGGAGTAGACAAGAGTATCGTACTCAAGTCTGGACAGATAATGGAGGGACTTAGAGTCCAGACAGAATGAGTGCAATCTAAGATGATATTCGAACTGATCCACTACTGTGCATGTACAAGGGTTTATATACTACGGATAACTAACGGAATGATCAATAAGCAAAGGTACGAGGCTATGTACAAAGTATAAGCAAAGTATGCACACAGCGTATTGGTAAGTTGGATGGATCACGAATCATGAACCGGGAATGAAGTATAAGTTAAAGCGGATCAGTAAGTGTAGCAGATCAGTAAGCATAGCGGAAGTAAAGGATAACCGGTATACCAGTGTACAGGAATACTGAAAGGAGATGAACAATAGTTAGAGTTATATGAACAGGACATGAAATAAGAATCAGATCGGTGTGAAAAACACAACCTGACTAGGCACTTGTTAAGGTACTCAGCCAGTATATGTCTAAGCTCTGCCTATGCTGCTATACTTGCAAACAATAAAGCAAGAACGTTCGACCCGAGGGAAAAGCTACTAAGGATAACTCAAGATCAAAAGACCCGAAAGAGCGCTAAAGCGCGGGAATAGCGCGTCGCAAGATAGAGTGCTAATGCGCGGGAAAGAGCGGAAGTCAAGAAAGCTGACACTGAGTCAAAGGAGGGTAATGAATAGCGAGTGAGATCAAGGGTGTTGGTTGCAAGGGTAAGGAAAGTCAAATAGGGGCCATAGAGCGCAACTAAAGGGTGACTACTTCTAAGTAAAACCTAAGGGAAAGGAAATACAGCCAAAGGGAAGTCATGTCAAAGTAGTCACCATAGGCTTCTTATACTAGTAAACTATACCATCTCGGACTCGGAAGGGATAGGATATACATGTAATAAGACTGTAGCACTTTTTACAAACTCGAGAGGCAAGGTAAATTACATACCAATGAGGTAGGATGGACCATGGATGGATTCTGACATTTCAGGTGATGCCTAGAGCGCGAGAACAGCGCGCTGGACTAGCGCTAGGTGCGGGAACAAGCGCTAGGTAGAGCGGACATGCACTAATGCTCCTATAGACACATTGCTGGTAGTTCTGATAGTGCTATAAGCGCGGGAATAGTGTCGGATAAGTCGCGGGAGCATGAATAGCACTGCGGGAATGTGCGCGCATAGTGCAGGAAAGTGCAGAATAGCGTCGGACAAGGGTTATGGCTGAGACGAATGAAGACTGCTGATAGGGGAGTAGTGAATAATGTGAGGGATAACTTTGGTCCACCTATTGAAGGCTTATGCAGGTATACATGCCTAGCGCCAATATGATTGTCACATCGGATCTGTGGACCGGATGACAGATATGTCCATCGGATCTGGATCGGATCTGAGATCCGGATCTTCGGATCTGTACCCAGATATATGGTATATGACAGTATCCCCCCCTTAGGGCCGATCCCTAGAGGCACAAGAATCAGTGATCCGGAACGGATGTTATGAGTGTGAGACGATGGAGAAGTTGATGGGAGAAGTTGCTGAGTTCGGATTTCAACAGATATACGGATGCCAAAGTGTCACAGGGTGTTCCTTCCTTTCCCCACTTTTTCACTACCACTAGCTTAACTCAACCATGGCTGATAACGGATCTGGCTCTAAGAAGACCGCTAAGCAGACTCTGGCAGATATACAGGCTGCGCTGGCTGCTGCTGAGGCCGAGGTTCAGAAGGAGGAAGAGGCTGAAAGGTGGAAGCAACAAGAGGAGGAGGCGGAACGGAAACGCTTGGATGGGATTAGGAAGATTGAACAGGCTGAGATCCAAAGGGAAGTGGAGGAGACTAGGCACAGGGCAATTGTAGCGGAAATGGTGGGTTATGATTGTACTACCGGATCCGTGGCTTATCAGATCCGTCCCTTATCAGATTCGTAGACTTGTGCTATCTCAGCAGATAAGGATGGAGCTTGTATCTGTTGCGCTAAAAAGGGTCGGGCCTGTCTGTGGTCCGATGCTGATAGCAATTCCTTGGTGAGTCATCCTTGACTTTTCAGATCCATGACTCTTAATGTTCGGATAGATCAAGGCTTGTAACACATGCCGGAAGGATAAGGTTACTTGCCCCGGAAGGCCTGGACTTGTCAAGGATTCCAAGTCAAAGAAGAGGCAGCGCGCTGCTGAGAACCCATCTCCAAGAGGCAAGGGTAAGAAGCGCCAGCAGAGTCCGACTCCAGATCTGGATATGAAGATGGCAGTAGTGGATGAGGTGGAAGTGGAGTATGATGATCAGGCCTGGGTTGCTGCTGCTAACAGCATTGTAGTGGAACTGGTCCAGACCAATGGATTACTCCAGCAGAGCATCGGAGCGGCGGAAGGGAGTAGAGTTGCTATGGAACAGATGAATACTAACTTGGAGGCGTTTTTGGAGCAGCAGAGGGAGTTCCAGAACATCCTTCTTGAGGGGATCCGGAATGGAATTCAGATCACAGAGGCAGCCCATTCTGAGGCCTCTGACAAGGACACTGGTGAATCCAGATCCAAATCTGGTGGGGACATGGAGATGGATGGCTGAGGATTTTTGGATCTGCTTTCTCTGCTACTAATGTACTTGTATATCCGTTTTGTATATTCATTGTATAGCAATAGGACCGGGTTTGTCTGAATATGCAGTGTGGAAATCCGAGACTAGATCAGACACGTTTCTGAGTCCCGTGGCTAGTAACCACAAAGTCTCTTCATCCAAGCCTTCGTATCCGGACCATCGGACGAGGTATAAGAGTTGGCATTAACGTCTATGATGGTCTAGTTTAGAGTCTAGGATTTCGGATATCTCATATTCTGGTTCTCCGTCGACTTGACTGGAGGTGGAGGAGGCTGGATACGATTAGGAATTGTGTTCGGAACGGATGGTTCTAACTGCAAGATGTGGAAAACAGGATGGATGGATTTCATGGATTCGGGAAGTCGGATGGTGAAGGAATGGGTACCCAGACGAGATATGACTTCACACGGACCTAGGTTCTTTTCTGAGAGTTTCTTAGATGGATGAGTGGATCGGAAGTACTTAGCCTTGACAAAGACTTGGTCTCCGATATTGATATCCAGAGCGGGTTTCCGTTTAGCGTCCGCAGGTCCTTGATATCTTTCTTGGGCATGAGCCATTTCTTCTCAGAGGAATTGGTGAAGGTCGTCGAGATCTATAGCATAGTCGCGAGCACGGTTGGAGGATAGATCGCATCCAGATGGACAGATATGTTCGGATGATAACCCTTATTAGCAAAGAAAGGCAATACTCCAGTAGTAGTACTTGGAGCATTATTGTAGGAAAACTCTGCTAAGGGAAGTAGTTCCGACCAGTTGTCCTGCTGATAATTGCAATATATCTGAAGGTATTGTTCTAGGGTTTGGTTGGCATGCTCGGTTTGTCCGTCCCCTTCCAGATGATATCCGGATGTGAAGTGGAGGACCATATCCAATGCTTTCCCTAAGGACCGGAAGAAGTGGGATATGAATTCTGTACCACAGTCCGAGGTGACATGGGATGGAACTCCGTGCTTGGAAAACACATGGAGTAGGAACAGGTGAGCGAGGTCAGGAGAGGTAATGGTATTGTGAGTCGGAACAAATATTGCTTGCTTGGATAGTCGATCTATGATAACGAGGATGGCTGTAAAGCTGGATGAGTCCAGAAGTTGCTCTATGAAATCCATAGAGATGGAATTCCATGGCTTTTCCGGTATGGGAAGTTGCTTGAGCAATTTGTAGGGTTTATGTCTCGGAACCTTGGCTCAGGCACAGGTAGTGCAGGAATGGACATAGTCCTTAACATAGGTGCGTATACCCGGCCATGTATACTTGCGTTAGATGAGGTCTAGGGTTCGGTTTTGACCAAAGTGTCTGGATAAGGGGTGATCATGAGTATTATGGAGGACACGAAGTCGGAGGTTATTGGATTCCGGAACATATATACAATTGTCGCAATGGAGGAAACCACTATTGTCCACTGTCCATCTCGGATCCGAAGGTACTGGAAGATGGTTGGTTGCAATAGGGTCATTAGGGAGTGCAGTCAGGATGTCTTTCTGAAGGTCATCAATATCCATTAGAACAGCTGCTCTAAGAACTGGAGTTGCTAAGGTTGAGGCTTGTAGGGATGAAGCTAACTGTTCAGATGTGAATACCGGACGGAAGTTATGAGGGTTAACTCGAGCGTAGTCCTTATCCCCCTCTTTGGGATAGACATCCCAGCGTCTAGTAAGGGAATCCAGTTTAACTCTGAGTTTTCCAGGACGGAAACGGATGATGAGATTAAACTGGTGGAGGAATTCCGACCAGCGAGCCTGATGGTGAGAGAGGAGTTTGGTAGTGGCGAAGTACTCAAGGTTTTTGTGGTCCGTGACAATATCTATAGGCTCGGCCGAGCCTTCTAGATAATGTCACCAGGTCCAGAAAGCTTCATATATAGCTAGGAGTTCCTTGTCA